ATGCTAGAGACATTAGGAGTATTTTATTTATAGAAAGCAGAATTAAAAGCAGAATTAAAAAACAAATATCCAGGAAAGGGACCTTTGCTTTACTAGAGGATAGTTAGTATCTAAACACCAGTGTTTCCACACTAGCCTGGCACCTTTAATTAATAAAAAACGATAAATGTTAAACATTAGACTATTATGTACAGAGGTAAAAAGATAATCCTAGGGGAGTAGGATGAGAAAGAAGAAAAAGAACAGAGGCAGAGAATGAGGCAAGATATCCTGCTTAGATACCTTCATCATCCAGCAGTATGGCTCCTAAGAGCTCTAAGGGGAAAGAAAACAACTAGTTCTGAGCTGTCAAACCATACTAGTGCTCGCAAGAAAAGCCCCATGACGATCATAACCAATTCTGCTGAGGCCATAATCATTAGTTATTTTGAGGAAATTAAAAATCTCAAGAATAAGACCCTTGGATTTCAAAAAATTCTAATCTAAATGTTACCGCTAACACAACAGACAGAAATCCTTCAAGTATCTGCCGTCTAAAATGTGTTATGACAATAATAAATTACATAATTGCAAATAGCAAGATGGAGAATATTGTGTTCTCAATGCAAAGACATGACGTTTGAGATGATGGATAGGTTAATTACCCTGATCGGATCACTACACATTATATGTATCAAAACAGTACTATGTACCTCATGAATACATTTAATACAAACATTACTTGTCAATAAAATTAAATAAAATAATAAAATTTAATGAAATGACTAAGCATCAGTTCAATATTGAAATTGGAAAGGAGTAGAGCCATGGATACAGATACGACTAGTGAGTAGAAATGGTTTCAAAACATTGAAAATAATGGTTTTCTAGTTTAAAAGTTATCACAATTTTTTAAATTGTGGGCTTACAGGAAGCATAAGACATTTGCGAAATCAGAACAAAAATAATTTCATTGAAGAGTTATTCGTTGTATCGTATTAAATCAAATTCAGCTCCATTTAAAAAAATATAGATTAATACTTAGCCTTTGGTGGTTGTTGTTACAGTTTGGCTGGAGCTGGGTCTGAACCCGCCACCTTGGTATATGGGGCCAGCACCCTACTCACTGAACCACAGATGCCACCCAATACTTAGCCTTTTTATCTCATTTTAAGATACACTACAATAAAACATTGGCTCTAAATCAACTAGATACCATTATATATTATATTTAACTTTTTAATAAGTTATTTTTTTACTGTTTTATGCTTTTTCTCAGCAATTTTATTACCCGATTTGTATTACTTCAACATTTTATTTACTTAGAGACAGAATCTCCCTGTCACTCTGTCATCATCTGTCAATGATGGCACAGCATCACTGTAGCTCACAGCAACCTCAAACTCTGGAGCTCAAGAGATCCTCCTACCTCTGCCTCCCAGAGTGTTAGGATTACAGCGTGAGTCACTGTGCTCAGCCTTTACTTAAACATGTTAAATCAATTTAGTAATTAGGAGTCCACAGACTTATGTTTTTTAATCTGATAACCAGTTTTGAAACAGAGTGTTTTAAAAAAACTTTTACTACTTATTGTTAAGCACACACATATACATAAAATACACATTTGTAATAACTCTGGAGTTTCTCAAGTTAAAGAAATATGCCCAGAATATTTGGGTACATCAGCAGTGTTAATTTTAATTAAAGAAGAGTGATGTTATCATTATGAATGTATAATGGAGAGAGGGTGATATATCATGGTCCCACAAGGAAAGAAGTTAATTTCCTTTAAACTGAGCCATAAATTTAACAATTTCAATCAAAATCTCCCCACAAGATTATGTAAGAGTCTGGAAAAAAGTTTCTGAAGTTTATCTTTAAGTAAAAATGTGTAAAAAGACAAAAAAAAAATTGCAGAAGAGTAAGGAGAGATTCACCTCACCTATTAATAAAAATCCATTAATTAGAGTGGTGCCTGTGGCTCAAAGAAGTAGGGCACTGGCCCCATACGCCGGAGGTGGTGGGTTCAAAAACCAAGCCCCAGTCAAAAACAGCAACAACAACAACAACAACAACAACAAAATCCATTAATTAAAATAGTAAATACTGGTACAAAACTAATATAATGGGTCTATAAAATGGCACTGGAAGACTTGAAACCCAAGTACAAAGAAGAGTTTAGTCTATAATAGAGATAATATTTGAAAGCAGTGGAATAATAAAATAATCATTCAATAAAAGATTTTGGGACAAGTGGCTAAATACTTAGATGAAACTAAAATTAGGGCTTAAATCTCATCAGATAACAAAGTAAAATATCAGGTGAATTAAAGAGTAAAAACTTAAGAAACAGCTCAAAATACTAAAAGTAAACAGAGAGTAACCTAACTGAAGAGAATGAGGAAGAAATTATACAAGAGTCAGAAGACAAAAGAGAAAACAAAGACATATCTACCTAAAACACACATACACACTTTTCTCCATGCTAAAATGCGTGTACAAGGCTGCAAGACATAAAACAGACTGGAAAAAAATTGTAACGTAACAGACAACAGAAAAATATCCTTCATTCAAAAAGATGAATTCAGCAAGAGACTGCAACCCAGACAAAGAATTATGAGTACATAATTTATAAGTAAATGTAACTAGTATATAAATATATAAAGTCCTCAAAACGAATGAAAATAAAAACAAAAAGTTGCAAAATGCCTGATACTTAGGACAGGGAACTTGGGCCATCATACTATGTTACCAGGATCATGAATAGATGTAGCATTTCTATAGGGCAATATGTATCAAGGTGTAAAAATGTGCCTCACTTCTGGCCCAATAATTCTTCTTTCAGAAATACCAGCTGAGATCATTTCCCAAAGATGTATGCATACAAATTCATCACAGTGTTCACAGCAATCTAGATAAACTGGGAACAACCTAAATGCCCATCAATAATAACAAATCTTAGTACTTCCTAAACCAAAAATACCAGATGTAGAGATCATACATTTGCTGACATGAAAAAAATGATGATACTCATTTATACGCCAGTTCCATGCGAAGAAGCCTTGGACTACTCTGTTCCTCGCTCTTGCTTCCAGTACCAAGAACAAGGCCCTGAACAAATCACCTTCTCAGTAAGCATTTATTAAACAGATGAATTTTTTTTGTTTTGAGACAGAGCCTCAAGCTGTCCCTCTGGGTAGAGTGCTGTGGCATCACAGCTCACAGCAACCTCCAACTCCTGGGCTCAAGCGAGTCTCCTGCCTCTGCCTCCCAAGTAGCTGGGACCACAGGCACCCACCACAACGCCCGGCTATTTTTGGTTGCAGCTGTCATTGTTGTCCAGCGGGCCCAGGCTGGATTCAAACCTACCACCTTAGGTGTATGTGGTTGGTGCCCTAGCCACTTGAGCCACAGGCACTGAGCCTAAACAGATGAATTTTAAAAGCAAATTACAGAAGATAATCATAATGTAGTGAGTGCCTTTCTCTTCCCTTTAAGCTCTCTCTAGAGCAGCAGTTCTCAACCTGTGGGTCGCGACCCCTTTGTAACAACGAAAATACATCCTGCATATCAGATATTTATATTACGATTCATAACAGTAGCAAAATTACAGTTATGAAGTTAGCAACGAAAATAATTTTATGGGTGAGGGTCACCACAACAGGAGGAACTGTATTAAAGGGCTGTGGCATCACTGCTCTAGCATTTAAAAAAAATTTTTATGATTGGGGAAATTAGCAATATTGTTTTTTAAAGAATTCATGTACTTAAAATGAACTCCAGAATGTGTTCACAAACTGGAGTTCAAAGTCCCCCAGACTAAGAGCAATAATATCCAAGGGGCATGTTTTCATTCATATTCAAAGGAAGATCAGTGTATCTTACACAAGTAGCATCCTTTCTAAGAGCAGGAAGGAGCACATTAATGAAAGGCAATATTTTCAAAAGGAAAGGTATATATTTTCTGCAGTAAAAAAGAAAAAAAACAAAAGTAATAATTTCTTAAAGTTCTTCCTCTCCTCTATTAACATATTACTCTATTGTACTTGATGGGAAAGATTACTATTTGTGACTGTTCTTTTTTTACAGGCCAAAAAGCTGTATCACACAATTCTTTCATTTCTTTCCATAGGCAGGTTTGGTCTTAAAGACAGTTAAACGATTGATATATCAAAACTAGCTACGACTCCACGTCTTTCATCCCATCACCCGGTTCTATTTTATTGACAGGCTCTATCACTATCTGAAACCACCTTATTTGAATTTCTATTATCTGTCTCTTCCTTCTAGACTGTAAGCTCCACGAGGCCAGGAAGCCTGTCCTGCTCACCATCGTGTCTCCAGCCCAAGATCTCCGAATTGTATCTAGTAGGCCTCGCATTTACTTAATAATGAGAAGATTGGGGAGGGTGGGTACAAATCTAAACAAGACAGCAAATGAACTGAAAAAAAGAAAAAAGGAAAGAAAATCACACTGAAATGTACAAACAGGACTCAAAGCTCTAATGCCAGGTCGGAGGTTTGGTGATATTTTCCAAGGTGGACAGGTGCTTCACACCTATCTAAGCGCATAGAGCTCTTCCAGGAAGAAGAAAATCAACACGGAGGTCTCCAGGTAGCTGCGAGCAGCTCCCAGAAGAGTGGAAACCATCATCACCATAACAGAAATGTGGCCCGTGTCAAGAGAAAAAACAAGGCACCATACATCTTGGCCCAGATGAAAAAAAAGAAAACCACACGAATGCCCAACACAATCAAACCAAGCGAGCAACCTTCCGTCTGACACGTAGGAGCTGTCTCCTTGCCCCTGACCGTGCAGCGCCAGCAATCCAGCGACCCCTTCACTCGCTTTTCCCTCCCAAAGTCGGTCCAAGGGGAGACAGAATAGGGGAAACAGTCTGAGAATCAGCTTTCTCCAGCCCTACCCGAACCCAGTCCCCTCCAAAACCCAAGTGCCTTCCTTCCATCCTTGCCTGTCCCCGAGGCCCCCTGAGGCTCTCCGCCGGTTGCCCCTCACTCACGTGTAGATGATGGCCATGAAATGCATCAACCACAGCACCAAGAAGAGGGCGAACCCAAAGACGGCCATTCCCTCCAGGGCCAGGTCCAGCAGCGCCATCCCCTGGCCCGCTGGCCCGGCCCGGCCCGTTCCGGCCGCCAACGCGGACAGCGCTCCTGCAGGAGGAGGACAGGGTGGGTGCCCGGTGCCGGGGCGCGGGAGGCGAGAGGAAGATGGGGAGAGGAAGGGGCGGAGGAGGGTGGGGACGGAAGGGGCGGGCAGGGCCTGCGCGCCCCCGCCCGCGCGCCCTCGGCCGCGCGCAGTTCCCGGCGCGCTCGCGACTGCAGGCGCTGCGGTGGCGGCGCTCCGCGGTCAGGGCGGCTGCGGCCCCGAGCTTCGGCTCGTCTTTCCTGACTCTCGCGGCCGCCGGCCGGCCCCTGCACGTCGCCGCCCAGCCGCCTCTCCGCCGGGCTCCGGGCGGTGCAGCTCCGCCAACCTGCTCGGCCACCCTGCTCGGCCACCGCAGCTCCGCGCACTAGTGGAAACCCGCGGCTCGCGCTCCGACTCCCCGGCGCGCCCCGCCCAGTTCCCGCCCTCGGGCTCCGCCGCGCCCTCCTCTCTCTGGGCGGGGCTCCCGCTCCTCCGCGCCCACCCTGCCGCCCGCGCGTCGGTGCACCCCCGCGCGAGCGCGCCCCGGGAAGCTTCCCCAGCTGCACGCAGGCGGGGCTTTCCCCCAGCTCTGCGCTCCCGCAGCCGCCCACCTAGCCTCGCCGGGCGGAGGCACCCGGAGCGGGCAGCATTGCTGCTCGGGACTGGGCTCCTTCGGCCGCGGCGGCGGCGGGGACTCCAGACCCCGCGTCCGGCTCCGAGGCAGCTCTCTCTCCGTCTGGCTCTACTGTTCGAGGCGTCCCAGAAAAAGACACGGGGTTCCAAGCAGCTCCCGGCGCTTGTCTTGAAACTCAACTCCCAACGCGGTGTCTACAGCCTCCCAGCTGGGCATTATCTGAGCGGCTAGGCCCTCCAGGCCACCTTCCTGGGCGCGAAGGTTTCCCATTGCCTCCGCCGCTCGTTGCTTTTTATGTCGCGGGATCTTTGATCAAAACGGACCCGACAGTAAAATAGTCTCCTTGTGCTTTAACAGATCTCTAAGCGCCGCGGAGGCCGTGTGTATTATAAAACAAATTGTTGGAAAAAAAAAAAAGAAAAAGAAAAATGTTCAAACTCAGAATGTGAAGAATCAATTGACATTGAAGTTCCCTAAGGCTGTCCCACACGGTAGCCACTTGGGGCTGAGTGAGTTGAGATGTGCGAGTGAACAATACACTTGCACAGGTAGAAAACCATTTAATAAATAGGTTACATTATAAAATTAATTTCACTTTAATTTTTTTTTTTTTAGAAAATGTGGCTATTAGAAAAGTTTTATTACATACGTGAACAGTTCAACTCTAAAATGGAAAGAAGTGTTACTTTGGATAGTAACGTAACTTAGTATTTGTCCTAATTTCCAGTCAGCCAGGAAGATGCTCTTACTAAATACTTTTGTTTCTTTTGCCTGGACAAGTTTGTATTGTTTCTCGTTTATTTTGTTTAAACAATGTTTATTATTGCAAGCAATTTCTTTTTAAATAATCCAAGAGCTCTCTTGAGAGATTTCACAATTGAATTCAATTTTGAACAGTTTATTATTGTTACTTATTATAGTTAATAATGATTGAATGAGCTACCTCAATCTACAATTAAATGATAAACTATAATGAGAAGTATTTAATGTCTGTATTGAGAACCAATCCTGGATTCAGTCTCCTTTGTTCTACCGGTATAAAATCAGTGGGAAAGAACAGTGCTTAGAAATCAAATTTCCATTGTTGAAATTTACTGGTTGATAAAAAAATGGATAGAATTCTAATATGGAAATAATTACAAACAGAAACTTTCAGATGTCACTATTATAGTTAATTCTAAGACACACTTTTCCAAAACACTTTAACACATTGCAACATTTCTGAAATGGGATTGCATCTCAGTCAACGCCATCTTACAATTAATTGCCATTTTTTTCTTTGTCAAAGATAAAATGGTGCTGTATCTGGCTCGGCGCCTGTGGCTCAAGCGGCTAAGGCGCCAGCCACATACACCTAAGGTGGCGGGTTC